AACAATATATATGGATCTAGTAGGCCCCTTGCTGGCCTTAACTAAATCATGTGTCATTTCAAATGGAATACATAAAGAGAAGGTTGGACCATTGAGGCCATTTTTTGCAATCAATATATCATAGATCTTAGGGGCCAGGGACTAACCCTTAGGCTCATTTAAGATGAGGTGTTGCACGTGATCCTATACATGAAGTTATGAAGAACTGTCTTCTCTGTGGAAGGAGGACAAAAAAAAAAAAAAAAAAACCCTCAGCACACTGGCCCAGAGAATAGGAAGTTACTATTGTCTGGGACCCTCAATTGAAACCCTAAGCCTGTACCATATGCTGATGTGGGGTCTGAAATAAAGACAAAATTGCTCTTTAGGTACATATCCACAAATGAAAATGTTTGCTGAAAATGAGTTAAATAATTGCAAACAGAAAAGAATTTTAGATAATAGAACAGCTATTTGAAAGAAGCTCTAAAATAAAAATGTTCAATTCTTAAATATTAATATTGTAGAGACAAAATAAAGAATGAAAAAGAATGTATGAAAAAAGAACCAGATATGTTTATTAGAAGTAATAAATGTGAACAACTAAAAGGTTAGTGGACATATTAACAGGTAGATTGGGCATTGGTGAAGAAAGAATTTATGTACTGGAAGATAGTTCTAGTGAAATTATCCAGAATGTAGGGCAGAGAGGTAAAAAGATAGAAAATGTAAATGAGAGTTTAAGAGTAACTGAAGATAGAATGAGAAGGTCCAAAATATATTTCATAGGAAGAAAGGAATAGAGGGAATTGGGGAAAGACAGTATTTGAAGAAATGATGACTGATTATATGAGGAAAACATGAGTCTTGTGCAGAATAGATGAAAATAAATTGTCTGCTCCTACCCTCCACCACCCACCGGAAAATTATACAAGTGATGGGAGAAACCTGGGTCCCTAAATGGCATTGTGGAACTAAGCTGCCCCACCAACCTGTGTTTTATACGATTTAAAGATTTTTTTTTTTGATGGCTGTAAACAACACAGTGACACTTAGATAAAATGCACAGTTCTTTGTTGTTTACAGCTGTAAATGAGAGTAAGCTCCCATGTAGGGCTACCCAGGGATTTGTACCCAAGGACAGGATAACAACAAGCTGCAGCCACAGGGGACAGCTTATGTATGGTAAGCAGGGTGGGGTTAACTAGGTTTTGCAGGCTCCCTGTGCATTGGCTACTTTGAATACTTACGTGGACTTCAGTGCACAAGGGCCTACCTCAGTTTGCAGGGTATCTGGTACTGCGGTGATTAGGGTGGGTACATCATGGCACAGAATGTGAGAACCCAGTAAGGGTAATGGCTAGGGTGTGAACTTCATCAAGACTTAATCCTCTTCCTTATTTAGAAAGAGGAACTGACCAAGTCTCTAACCAAATCTTTAAAAATGAGTTGGCAGAATTAAAACAAATAAATAAAACTCTATCATACATGGACCAACCATACTGTTTGAGAAATCAATTATATCTTAAATGCCACTGCATTTGGGGGTTTTCTTTTTATAGCAGCTTGTTTTTAAGGTTTTTAAATATTTTTTGTATTTTAAGATATATTTATGGTAAAGTTATAAAGAGTGACATTACTTAATGTTTAAAGGAACATTTCAGCTCCTTTAGGAAGGAAGCTACAATAGTACTGTATAAACCTAACAGTATGTCCTCAAAATATATAAAGCAAACGTTTAATGGGATAGGAGATTTTTAGAAAGTGATAAACCAAGGAGACAAAAAATAAAAGGTATGATACAGATTATTTGTGTAGCACAATTAATCACAGTAAATCTCTACAAAGACTAAGTCAATGTCAAAGAATCAGTGGCTATGTTCTCTGACCACATTGAATTTAGAAGTCAGTAGGTAAAGATTCCCACTAAATATCCTGTTTTTAGCAGGTGAAAGTGTACACTTCTGTTTTATGATTTTGAAGATGAGTATAGAAATTGAGAAATACCATAAAATGACAATGAAAGTACTACACGCCAGTACTCATGGAATATAGCCAAAGTGGTGATGGTAAGCAATATGCCTTGAATGCACATATTAGAAAAGAGTTTTGATAGAAAATTAGCAAGGTAAGTATCCTATTTTTAAAGTCAAAAAAAGAATAGAATAGTAAACACAAAGCAAGTAGGTGGAAGAAAGTAATAAAGATAAAGATAGAAATAATGGTATAAAATATAAAGTTAGAATAAATACTATTGGCAAAACCAACTGTATTTTTTTAAGGGTAATAGTTTAACCTCTTACAAAATTTGCTAAGCAGAAAAGGAACACTTAAACAAATAATATTAGGAATGAAAAGGCAAATATAACTACAAATGAGTAGGCATTTAAAGAGAGAGAATATACCATAAGAAATTACATGGCAATATGTTGTAAACTGAGCTGTGTTCCACTCCCCTGTTCCCTGAGCTCCCAATTTATCTGTTGAAATCCTAACCCCCAGTACCTCAAAATGTGATTTTATATGGAAATAGGGTCTTCAAAGGGGAAAGTTTAAATGAGTCCCTTAATCCAGTCTGACTGATTTCCTTATAAGAGGAGGAAATTTAGACATACAAGCAGATATGAGGAGCAGGTATGAACAGAGGGAGAACCATGTGAGGACAAAGCAGCAAGAGGGTGGCCCACCTGCCAGCCAAGGAGGGAGGCCTTAGAAGAAGCCAGACACCTTGATCTGGGCTTCAGAGCTCTAAGAAAAGTTCTGTTGTTTAAACCACCCAGTCTCTGGTATTTTGTTATGGCAACCCTAGCAAACTAATATAGTTAACTGAAACTGACTTAAAATAGAAAAACAAAATAGACCTATTCCAGTGTTTCTTAATGTTTTTGTAGTTTTTGCCCCCAAGAGGAGGAAAAACTAAGTTTTCTCTAAAGTGAGAAATTAAATACTAAGGAATATGATTTTGTCAGGTAGAGTTGAGCTTTCGAGGGTCACACCAAATTGTAACATCTGAGGGTTTGTTTTACTTCCAATTTTTTTCACCCACTTAGAAATGCATGATGTTGGATGAAATTAAATCATTAATGAGAAATTTTACCCCTCCCCCCATCTTCTCCAGAAAAAGAAGGAAGGTAGTCCAGGAAGAGTTAAAAGGCTTTTTACTTGTTAGGATGGAGTAGAATGATAATTTCCAAACTCCTTAGTTGCAGAACTGGATATAAATGGTAGTTTAGTTTTCCTTACAGGGGTCATTAGCCAAAAATGCCTTTCCAGCCACCTATTACATCATTCACACAGTCTGTGCAGACTGCCTTCCTTGTGCCTCGCCCTGGTCCTGAAGTCCGTGTAAGAGGGGAAGAGGCAAGTGTATGGACTGTATATTTCAGAGGTTTGTCATAAGAGGAGGAAGGATGTAGATGGTTTCAAAGCTTTTAACTTGGAGACCTGACAAGTATAAAATATTTCCTGTAAGTGTTACAGAGTCTATGAAACTCCAAAGACCATGGAAAAGCTGAAGACACCAGGTTTTATGAAAGTAGACCAGGGTTTTTAATATAGGCAGGTTTTCCTTAGGGAAATAGGCAAGGTAGCAAGAAGTTAGGCAAATTTAGGAGACCCTCACCAATATTTAAAGTTTGAAAAAAAAAAGTTTACTGTAGATATGTCCTTCTCTCTTGGATAGAGAAATTGTGGGATGTTTTGTGAAAACCTAGAGTGAATGCTCTGTTCTATTTCTGTGAGGCCCCAACACCCTCCTTGGCTTTTCCTTCACTGAAATGTGCAAGCTGTTCTTGGCTCTGAGGGGCGGGTATCTCTCTGCTGGGACTGAGATTGGAGAGGTCAGGGATTCAGCTGCAGCAGCCATTCATCGTTTGTGAGAGAAACTGGGTAGGCTGCTTCCTGGTCAACTCTTGATCAATGAGTTTGTTGACTCTGGGCTTAGAGACTTTCCATTGACCCTAGAGAACAAGGAAGAATCACTTTAAAAAGCTGTGGTTACTTCTCTGATTTCTCAACCAGGTCTTTCCTACTGTTTTCTCTCTTCGTGTAATTTCTCAAAGTTTCTAGTCTATTGTGTTTTTTTGTGTTATTATTGTGTCATTCTTACAGGTATATACATTATATTAATTATGTGTGGTAGGGTGGAGGTGGGAAATATCTATTTGCCGCTTCAGAGGGCTGTTGAGATGAATATTAGGCAAGATGCATAATATTTGGTTTGTGATATTGAACCAAACAAGATGACTAAATTAAAAACCCTGTAATCAGGACCAGTAGTCCACATAAGGTATTGTCTTTATTAAAATGAACAAACTTTTATTAAATAAGAACTGATCATAACCTTTGCTTTCCATAGTAACTATTGAAAGCATAAATTTCATCAAATGTCTGAAATATTTGCATGGAAGCTGTGGCTCCTGACCCACTGGTTGGAGCCCGTCTCTAACTGTAAGCTTCGAGTTTATGAAAATGGGTACTTGTACTACAGAAAAGGCAAGAGGAAGATTAGAGTCCAGGAGTAATAGACTCGGGATGCTAGGTAGAGCTAACGCGAGACAGTCTCATTTCAGAACTGAGAAATACCTTTTTATCTCCAAAGTTTTAGACTTACTTAACATTTGACATTTTAGATTCCAGATATTATCATCTACTATAAAACAGTGCTCTGTATTTTTCTTAATTCTTAAGGTACAAAGCCCTCATGAACAGTACTAGGTACATCATTGGAGAAATATAGTTGGAGCATTGTCAGGACTTAAATTTTTTTTCTGTACTGTGTCATGTTAGGTTCTCACTTTAGGATTTATATGAGAAAAACCAGGTGTACCAGAGTATTCACAGTAATGTTAATAATCATAAGAATTTCAGCGTATTAAAAAAGCATTGGTTGGCAAGTGTATGTTTGGATTTCAAATCCAAATTTTCAAATATGTAATTATTTCAGATACCTAATTGTTCTTATTAATGTTTAAGGGTCCTGTTATGGCACAGGTACTTAGGTTTCACTTCTTTTCTTTTAGGTCTCTTTTATTCAAAACCTTGTATTTTGTGTAGAAAGAGTTTACCGCGTTCCTGACTTCGGAGTCTGGGAAAGGGGAAGCAAATACAATAATGGCAGCACAGAGCTACATTCAAGGTAATTTTCTGATTTCAGTGTGTAGAGGTTTTGGGGTTTTTTTTTTAATTTAAATGTATGGATTTGAGTATGAATAAAAATCGAAGTATTATATTACAACTCCAGTTTCTATGTAATTTTTATCTCTTTTTTCTATATATGATGCAGGTAAAATTTGCTTAAAAGTAAAAAGTCTGCTCTCGGTGCCCATAAACAGATGCAGAAAAAGAGCAGAGTGTCTTTCCCAACTTCCTAAGGTGTCAGTACATGCGTATCAGTATCCAGTCCAAGGTTTGGCCTTTCTGCTCAACCAAGTCATTATCTTTTTCCTCTTTGAAACATGACACTGTTTGAAAGCTCAAGTACATTAAAATTGCCAAACACCAATTGTATATGCATTGCATGTAAAATTCCGTTTCATGTGATTGAGTTGATTTTTATCCTAATGAGAAATACTTAACACTCTTTATATTTTGTTTAACTAGATAGTGTAGCTCAATTAGTCTTATCCATTTCACACTAAAAGATTTAAGAATTTAAAGGTTATCAGCTATAGGTCAGTTTAGATCATTGAGACTTAAATGAAGTAAGATCATTGAGACTTAAATGAAGTAGAGAAACAGTTTAGGAAACACTGGTCAGGAAGAATCTGCTGTGTACCTTTTGGATAGAAGGACTAATCACACACAAAAATTAAGCTGGTGTAAGATATTTAGTAAACTGAAAATTGGCTCCAGATCGCTGGCTGTGTAATTTCTCTGTGCCTCAGTCTCCTCATCTATAAAATGAAAATAATAATGGTTTCTACTTTATAAAGCTGCTGTAATGATTGAATTAGTTATGTATAAAGCATTTTAACAGCTGACATAAGTAAGCACTGAAATGTAAGTGTGCTCACACATTTAGGAATGTTTTAATAACAAAGATTGAAACAAAAAGAGTTTTTCCTTTAGCTCTGGTCAACTAATTCACAGTTTGCTTTAAGTTTTATCATTCTTATGAAGCATTTTTATAATATAAAGTGGAATAGCAGCAATCAGCAAAGAAAGTAAAGGAGAGAAATAATTTGTGGTAAAGTTAGTTCAAACATTAAACAAATTCTGGCAAGTACTAAAAATAGGAAGATAATGTTATATTTCAACTTTCATCTAAATTAAGTTCTCAGTAGTTCAGATTATCAGTCAAATTCCAGACAAAATTTATCTGATTAGAAACAGTGATTTTTAAAAATTTACCTCAGTATTTATGATTTATCAGGCCCCTTCTGTGCTTTTAAATAACTACTTAATACATGGCAGTGTGGTCCCACTGACTCTATTTTCAGTATAAAATATTTGGAGTAGGGTTTTTTCTGTTTATAAAAAAGATAGTGATATCAGAAAGAATCTTGTGTAAAAATTATCATTAACACTAGAAAGTGAGGGTTTTGGAAGATCACTAGTGGAAAAACAGAGGCTCCAGATTGTCTTCCGGTACCCGAGGTGCCAGTCTTTAAATTGAATCATTAAGGATTTTACTTCAAGGCTTGGAAGATGATTAAGTGATGTTCTTTGCTACTTTTTGCATGCAAAATTAATCTTAATTGTAGCAGGCCAATTTTATTCAAATGGATGGGAGAAGTTTGCCATTTAGATTTGGATGATGGGTTTTATACATTTAACATTGATCTTCTAATTTTCTGTGGGTTAGCACTTTTCAATTCCCAGAAGAACTTTAAACACTTATTTTCAAGTGTTTCTTAGCTCAGATCTCTACAAGTCTGTTTTAGATATGTCACCTCTGGTGCCAAAGTGGTCTATTTTGAAACTGTAAGAGACCCGAGCCCTATGGCACTCATGGATGCAGTCATGGCAGTGGTGGTAGGAGGCCAGTATCCTTTTGTGCTCATGCCTGGGTAGTGGAATGTAGGGCTGCTATCGGCCAGGGATAAAGTCACAACTCTTAGTCTGTTGCTGTGAAACATCCCAGAACTGTCTCTGCCTAGTTGGATCTGATCCAAGGATTTTTTAATGCAGTATCCTGGTTACATCCTTAAGCTGTTCTCAAAATTTCGGAAATCCTGAAATAGTATATAGTAACTCTTGCTGTGAGTACTCATCTTGCCTTTTGCCTTCTAGCTTTCTTTTTATCACTCTTCATCTCTGTGCCATTCTTAGCAGGAAATAGAGAGAGCACAGTTTAGCTGCTACACTGATGCTCACTAAGGCCTTGTGCTCAACTGACTTGGTAAATGTCTCTTCTTTCCCTTGCCACACTGGGCACATCCCTTCTAAACTGCAGCTTGAAAAAGAAGATTTCCACCCCTGGGTTCGCAAAACACACGCACATAGTATTCTGAGGATGCAGACTCACTCCCTCTTTAGCATCAATGGTCCTCTAATAATTGCATTTGGGCACTGTACAGCTACAGAATACTTCTTATTTAGGCCAGGCAGGAAACATTATTGCCTTTTATACAGGAGGAAACTAAAATTTAGAAGGTTTTGTGGTTTCCTCCCCTCCACTGCTTAGAGGATATGAATCAATAGGTTGTAGAGCCGGAACTGAATTCCAGGTGATTCGCCTCCAAACCCACAATTATGTTTTACCTGTATCACACTGCAATTTAAAGTCTTAAAAAGTTTTCTTGAAGTTTGAAGGAACAGCAGAGTATACAATCCTGGTGAAATTTTGATAAGTTTCAAGGATATCTTTGCTTAGCAATCAGTAAAGCTTGATTCAGCTTAATACTTTGGTCAGTCCCTTCCTGATCTGCCCTTTTCAGCCCTTGACTTGCTGGTATCTTTTAGTCCAAATTCTTGAATTATTTAGCATTTCTTAGATAACCTTCAGAATTTTTTTTCTAAAGTGTGATCTCACTGCATTTATCTGAACCCCATTCTAGCAGCAACTGGAATCTTCCTTTTCAGGGGTTTGGTAAAAGAATTCATTGTTCTAAGTTTGGTATGATTGTCTTGAAATGCTTCCTAAGCAACCGTTCCCTGCTCGCCTGATTTTTCTGTTGACTGGACTTTCCTCAGACAACATGCTCCTGTCAGTTTCTTCTAGGGTGTATGGAACTATTTCAGATAATTCTCCTCTTTTCTTCTGTCTATTCTCTAAGTCTTTTAATAAATTCCCTTGCATTTAAAAATCTTATTTGATTTAATTACATTTCCTCCATGTATCATGTTGGTACCTATTTGTCGTAACACTAATTCTTAATCCCCAGAGTTACATATCCTCCAAGTAGTCTTCTCAGCTGCCCCAAGTGTAATTCAAGTATTTTAATTTTAATATTTTCCCTTCCTCATTTAATGTAAGGATATTCTTAGCCCTTCGGGCTACCTTTAAAACAAACCTCTGTTTTGAAGAAGAGACGAGTCTTCTGTAAAGTGTAAATCGAATCCCAAACCTAACTGCAAATTTTTTGGTTATTGGAAAGTGAAAAGGAAAACTGTAATAACTTAGTAGTAATTTAGTAAGGTAGATATAGGCCCAAATGGAGAGATTATTGTTTTTTTGTGTCTAGTTTTGTTGTTGTTGTTTATAATCTTATATTCTTTTCTCTTGACTTTCCCAGTAAAGAAAGCAGTCACTAAACTATCAGATAAGTAACCATCGTAGCAGCACTTGGTTTCAGATGCTTTTCGTGACCCTTTTATTTCATAGAGTGCTTGTTATTTAAAGTGACTACTTAGTCTTCTTAAGTAATTTTTGGTATTCCAGTCATTGAGCTATAATACAAGCAACTGTTCATCCATTCTGCTTCATTTTGTGTATTTTTCTGTACTGAACAATCCATGAACATCCAGTAAAACCATAGTACTGTTAAGTCCCTTTTCTTTCAGGAGGTGTGATTGGGTAGCCCAGGAAGTTAAAGCATAGTGTTAATGAGCAGGATCTTGTGACTTTAATTCCCATGCTTGCTAGTTAATTTTTTTGATTCCATCGTGGGTTTTAAATCTCCTTGTCCAAATCCATCATCTTTTCTAGAAAAGCTTTAATTTATGCAATAAATCACGTTATTATAAACTATCTCCCAAGTAAACATTAGTTTAGTTCTCTTCAGTGAGTGCTGAGGTAATACCTTGCAAGAATCTAATGTCCTCTTCTGAATGTTCTGTTGGCAGTAGTCACCTAATACTAATATGTTCGTTAGCTAATCATGGAATAATTTTCTGAGAATGTCTTGTGCCAGTAAAAAACTTAAAATTCTTACAACATATATATTATGTTTGCCAGTAAATGTAAGATCACAAAAGGAGTGTGTTTGTGTTTCTAAATAGCTTGCCTTTGTCAGAGACTTAAATATAAATAACCAGTGAATGATAAATTAATTATGTGTGAATTTCTGGTAAGTCCAATTATTCAATCACTTGCATTGGAAAAGAAAGTTAAAATGGTAAGAATTCAACCTTTACTCTAGTCCAGTGTTTGTTTTGTAATGCTTTGTTTAGAAGACGATTTCCAGATTCATCCCTTAGCTGTCTTTTTGTACCATTTTTAAACATAGAACCGTGGGCTGGCTACCTTATGTATCTCCTCCAGTATAGAATTTCTTATGTATTTGCCTTTTGAATAAGTTATTTTCTCTCACTTCTCAAAATACTGCCAAGTCTTAACACACATCTTGTAAGTGGAAGTTTTCTTGTTACTTGGTTAAATGCGTGTGTTTGCACTGGGTGCTAACAGGGAACTCCTAGGGCATTGGGAACACATTCTTAAGCAAGAAAACCAGTTGACAGTGAATGTTTTTGCATGAACTGTCAGAGTATGTGACTCCGAGGGGTTCTTCTAACCCTTTGTTTCTAGGAATTTAGAATTCTTATACAGGTGCTGTTAGGTAGTCCAAGCTCACACTGCTTTCTGCACAATAGGCCAATAAATCGAAAGACAAGTTGTTAGGAATAGTGACTTTTTTCAAAAAGCCAGCAAATGAGAAGACCGTAGACTATTCCCATTGATTTTTGATGATCAGACTAGCCTTGTGTTCCTAGAATAAATCTCACATGATCAGTTATGGTGATAATTTTCACATATTGCTTAATTTTTTTTGCTAATTTTTTGAAAGGGATTTAAATATTTATATTTATGAAGGGTATTGCTCTACAGTTTTTGTGTATTGTCTTTGGTTTTGATATCAGGGTAATGCTGGGTTCATAAAATGGGGTAATGCTAGCTTTACCTGAATTCTGAAGTGTTTTCCTCTCTTATATTCTAGAAGAGATTGTGTAGAATTGGTGTCAATTTTTCAATAAATGTTTGGTAGAAGTCCCCAACTAAATCATCTAGGTATGGGGATTTCTTGTTTGGCCATTTTTAAATTGTGGATTCAATTTCCTTAATAGTCATAGGGCTATTCAAATTATTTTTATTGGGTGAGTAGTGGTAGTTTGTGCTTTTCCAAGAATTGATTCATTCCTTCTAAGTTGTCAGATTTATGTGTGTGGAATTGTTCATTTTCTTGTTATCCTTTTGATGCATACAGTGACTATAGTGTTAGCTCCTGTTTTATGCCTAGTATTGGTCATTTGTGTCTTGTCTTATTTCCTTGTCAATGTTACTAGAAGTCTGTCAGTTTTCATTAGCTCTTCAAAGAATGAAATATATTTGATGTGCAACAGTATGTAAGTTTTAAGTGTACAACAGTGATTCACAATTTTTAAAGAATATATTCCATTTATAGTTATTATAAAATATTGGCTATATTCCCTCATATTCATATATTTTAGAATAAGTTTCCCATCTATTTATTATCCTGTAGTAAAACTGATGCTTACTTGAGAACATTTCATGTAAATAAGCCATAGAAAATGTAAATCATGATGACATCAGTGTTAGAACAGTGGTTCTCAGATTTAGAGCACAGCAAGCACCTAGAGGGCTTGTTAACACTGACTGTTGAGCCCACTCCCAGACAGCAGTGAGAACTGGCAATTCTAACAAGTTTTCCAGGTAATGCTACTTCTCTGAGATCCACGCTCTGATAATCACTGCTTTAGAGAAATGATGACAGGTCATTAATTTAAAATAATATTAATGGAATATGAAGCTGCTTTGAATAAAAACAAAAAATTGAAATAATTAAAATAAAATTAGATCTAAAATATTTATAGGTTGATATTTATAAGATGACGATGTCATATTTTTAAAGAAATTTTGGTCTACCCATTTTCCCCATTATTGTAGAGGCATTTGAGAGGCCAAAGGAGTACACATTTATTATTTTATGTTTATTATTATAAAAAGAAGAATATAGCAAAAAATGAGAAACATTGTGATCATTTGCTCTGTGAGGGTCCATTTTATCGGACCCTAAGCAAAGAGTATTTGAATGGGTATATTAAACTAAACTCCATGGTAATTGTATAATGTGCAATATCTTTTCTAAGGCTCCAAGTTGACGTCAGAAAAGCTCTTAATTGATCTGAGCTAATGATGCCCAACCTAATATTACTGTGCACATATCATAATACACCTTCCTCTAAAGTTCATCATTTTTCTTTTTTTCACTTGAGTCAGTGAATATGAATGATACTGGAGTTAAAACTTCTCCCATCAATAGTATGACCATTTATCTAGATCAAGGTGAACTTAGAAATATTTTTCCCTGAAGATCACTAACTATAAAAAAGAAAAATTAAAATAGTGAAATGTCAGACTGAAGTCTCTTAGACATTATTCTTCTTAGGGAAATTGTTATAAGTGTTAATGAAGAAACTTACTTTTGAATATTCATCAGATAACGGTTCTTATTTTATAGCCAAATACATCTGAGTTATAAAGTGTTTCCTTTTCTCTTTTAGCTCTGTTGGCTTAGCAAAAGCAGCTTTAGAAGCAATTAATGGATTCAACCTCTTTGGCAACCAGGTAAAAAAAACAGCAACAGCAATGGCAGACTTTGAATATTTTTCCAGTTGCATGTTTAATTAGCTTGGCCATTCATTAACCAAGTCATTCCTTATGATCAGAGAATGTCTGAAATTTATGTAGCAGCCCATGGTTGAATAACCTTTCCTTTGAATATGATTTGCTGCTTAAATTTTAGTTTTCTAACTGAAAAAGATTGCTTAATTAAAAAAAAAAACTCTTAATAAAGAATTTGCATATTCCATGTTCAGTTGTTTTTTTTCCTCTAAAGAATTTGCATTTTCCTTGTTCAGTTTTTTTTCTCTAGTCTTTCGTTAAGTCTTCACATTTTAAAATATTCCTGGCATTATATACTGTATATTTCCATGTCAGTTCCTTTGTTGGTGCCGATTTAATGTATATCAGTGTATATCACATGCGGAGGGGAATTTGCATAATGTGTGCAACCAAAGAATTAGAAATTGTGATCCTAACTTAGCCCTCAACTGGCTATAATCACAGGTCTAAAATCTCATTTTCTTTGAGATAAAAGGGAAAACCTTGAGGGTTACCTTAAATTTTCATAAAATCTTTAACCGGTTTCTGTACCTAATCAAGTGACATGGATTGAATTGTCAATGGAAGGGAATAATATGTAGGAATACAGGTTACTTCTCTGGATTGAGAAAGTAGGCTAATTTTCTTTACAATTTTTGTAAAGATTCCTAAAATGGAAGGGCAAAGGAAGTTTGCAACTAATATTAAAATTAACCTTAAGCTATTAAATTGCGAAGTCAGTGATGATACAGTTTAGGAACTTATGCAGACATGTAAAATATGACATGGATCTTGTTATGGCAATTCTAATACTATATACTCAAGTCTTAAATTTAAGCAAGTTTCAGGTCACAGTCTGGTAACATAACTGACTCTCTTCCCCCACCCCCCTTACTTACATAAACTCTCTTCTCACTCCAACTTCCCCTGAAGGAAGGACTCTGGTTAAATCTAGGATGTGAAGGATGAATAATGACCACAGACATGGAAAGGCTTGGGAAGAGGGGAGCAGCACCTCATTCTGAATGCCCTAGAGGTGGCTCTAAATCACCCACTTCCACACTCTTCTTTTTCTCTCAACCTCTGGCTGGTGAAATGGAGGGATCAGAACTTGTGGGGTTTGGAGGGGTGTAAGCCTACTGAAAATCATGAGAATTAATATTATGAATCTTCCGGGAGATTCTTGGTTTCTGTGGCACTGGTCCCTTAGGTTGCATCAGCATTTCTCTTTGGAAGAGTCAACATACTTGTGGAAATCCTGCATGTAACCTTCAATACCTTTCACTTCCTTTTTCCCCCTGCCTCACTCTCAGTACATTCATTTAAGTGTGTGTGTGTCTATGAGTATATGTGTATTTGTGTATAAAAATTTAAAGACTATTTGTATGTACATTAAATAGGTAAGGAAGGAAGGGGTGAGGGAGTGAGTAGGAGGATAATGTGGCATAAAGCAATGACACTGTATTCAGAGGCAGGAGGCAGGAGTCACTGTGTGCTCTGTACTTCCATCAGTGAGCTTGCTGACTGGCTGGTTATGTACCTAAGGCTCAGCTTCCTCATTTAAAAAAAAAAGAGAGAGAAAGAGAGAGAGATAACACTAGGTGCTACCTCAGAAGGTAGTCATGCAAATAAAAAACTTAGCATAGTGCTTGCCAAAGTTTAAACCCTCAGTAAGTGATATATCATGTTATTACTAATAAAGTGCTGGTCCTTTATTGGTTGAACTGAAAAACCTCTAGAGAGTATCTCAAGGAGACTGAGAGGAGTCGTGAACTAAACCAGTAGTTAACAGCAGCAATGTGGAAGGATGCAGGTCTTACTCTTCTGCCTTCCATGGCATACCAAATAGTGAGCTGAATGGAGTTGCACGTCTAGGTCAGCTATTATAAAGTAGTGGTCAGCTCTTCCGCAGTTGTGCCATCTCCTTTGATCCATCTGAGTCTTGGTGTATGCTACTTACATATCTAGTATACATCTCCTCCACCTACATACATACTCACACACATACATGGTACCTTTCCTCACTATGTATATTTCAGGGCTCTACCTTCAGCCTACTTTTCCCAGGAAACTTTCATAGATTTCTTAGCTGAACTTTAAAAACACCTAATTGCTTTACTATGCATTCTGATTCTGAGTTATAAATATGCTACTGATATTGTTTCCCAGCCATAATTTCTCAATCTTGGCTGCACATTGGATTTGAGGAACTTAAAAAAAAAAAATACTGATGCCTGGGAACTTCCCTTAGAGATTCTGACTTAATTATATAGGGGGAAGTCTGTGATGTTGAGATTTTTCTAAACTGCCCAGGAATTCTAATATGTAGTCAAGGATGAGAGCAACTGCTCTCAGCAAAGTTAATTCTTAACTCAGTTTAGGAGTAAAATTTGAACTGTGAGGCTTAAAATATGCTCTTTAGATGCAGTCAGGATATTACAGCAGAGTTGTGATGATTTCAAGATATGGAAGATGAAAATAAAATATACAAAGTTAATCAGATACTCTGGAGTGACATATACATGTAAAACATCCTTTCAAATTCCTGTCTTTAATTGGAGAAATCAGGATACTGACAAATGAACAGAGGCCAGAATCTAAAAGATGATAAGAGAGATTGCTCATATTATGCAAAATTTTCAAAGCAGTGCAGACATATCTAGCTTCCTTTGAAATTTACAGACCTAAAAATGTGTCTGATAATTTAAAGTCAGTGATAATTAATTCCATGTGTAGCTTCTCCTTGATGACTTTTTAAAAAATTTGCTTCTGAATAGGAAGCTGCCCATGGCCTTGGTGAATTTTATTCTTCTGTAAATCTGGGCCATATACTTGAAGCATAGTATGTGCTTTAAGATGACAGCCAAACAACATAGTTCAATAGCTTTTGATCTTAGTGTTAAAATATGGTAGCATTATGAGGTTATTTTTCCTTTTGCACATTTTTCTCAGAGGCTGGCAGAGGAAGAAACCTGAACAAATACTTTGGTGAACAGGATAGGTAATTTATTTATGGCCAGAAAATAGAAGTTGACTCTTTATGTTAATTAAATAATGGCAAGAATTGCCAAATTTGCCATTTCACTTCATTATTTATAAATTACATTACTTAGATTGTATCTTTAAAAAAATTTAAGATAGACTGATTTGTTATGTATTTATTAATTATTAACTTTATTAATTATCAGCCTAAGGGCAATCTATAAGTCCTCTTATTTGGTGTATTTGCTGACTCCCAATGTCTCATATGCATTCATTTCTCTGCTGTTTTGTTCTAACCACTCAACTTGCTCCCCCTTCCCCAAAATTCAGATCCTAGTTCTGGTCCTTGCCTTCTCCATCAGGTACCCCAAGTTCCCTGTTTTATTTTTCTCCTGTTAACTTGGTTTATTATTATTATTATTATTATTCATTCATCTAAGCCACTCACCTGCTATGTAGTCATGGATTGCCACGTGCAGTCTTTTTGTTTGGTTTAGTATTCATCTCACTATAGAACTGTGTATCATCTGGGTCAGCTCCTTGAGAGCAGAGATCATGTTCTATCTTGTTTTACTCGAAGCAGAGGGCACATTTCTCTGACAGTGGCAGCTACTGCATGAAGCTTTGTTGGACTCAGTTTTGTGCAGACAGACAAGAAGTAGGGACTTTAAAATAGTAGAAGCAGCAGTTTAACATTGATCTGATTGGGAGACAGCCTCACTCATTCCTTGTTCATTTGTTATCAGAGTTAAAAGCGATTTAAGAAATAATAAGAGAAATCATTCTATTTTATGAGCCAGTATTCATGCATGAACATGGGGTAATAGGAAAAATACACATATAGTGAGTCTGATATTTGGATCTAGCATCATAGTCCTACTCGATCTTAAATTTGTCAGGGTATTTTAGTTTCATGGTGAATGCATCTTGAAGTTGGTGAGAATTGGTATGAGTTTTAGAAGGTAATGAAGCAACATGAAATTTAGGATGGTTTTCTTCTTCCTTTCCCCATATATTTTTCTGAGAATCCTCTTGTAATGGAGGCAGTCATTATATTCCAACTTCATTCTCTGTGTTTTCAAAATATTCAGCTCAAAATAAAGCTATGTTTAATTAAAGACTACACTGTTGAATATGGAAAGCACTAATGGATAAGCAGTAATTTTTTTTAACTTGGTTAGCAGTCAAATTAATATTTTTTGTTACAACCTGTTTTCTTTTAATATTTTGGTTCTTGACAGATATTTTTTAGTGTGGGAAATTACTTAGCTTAGTGCTTAAGGTATGGGCTTCTGTATCAGAGACTTGTTTTTGAACCTTGCCTCTGTTAAACTAAGAGGCAGCATCCTTTTCAGCATAATGGAGATAATAATATCTGCATATGGGAATTAAATGAGATAATCAATGTGAAGCATAAAACACGGTGCTTGACACAGTGAATATTAGCAATAATTATGTACATTACAGTTATTTGAGATCTTCCTGTCTTAATGTTTTAACCAAGTAGTTTTTTGTATCTGTAATTCTAGATTGTATCTAAATTCATTTACTTTGATCACATAATCAACATTCTTTATTAGGACTGTACAAATCAGATTCTGCAAATCCAAACCAGTTCTTCCTTTATTTCTTGTCAAACATGTTAACCAAACTATTTTTTATTTTTATTAAAATAAAGGTCCATGATTAGTTACCTTGTAATCAATACATTTTGATTTATAAGAAAGCTAAGGAGATCTAGGGAAAATGTAGAAATATCATTTATTTTTTATGATTATAAAATTAACAGGTTAGTTTGCAAGAAATTTGAGAAATACTGAAAATACTAAAAAAATTAAAATCTCTAATGCCACTCTCTGATTGCAACCATTGTTAGTATTTTTCTTTTTTTTTATTTTTTATTGAGTTATAGTCAGTTTACAATGTTGTCAATTTCCAGTGTAGAGCACAATTTTTCAGTTATTACACGAACATACATATATTCATTGTCAAACTCTTTTTCTCTGTGAGCTACCACCAGATTTTGTATGTATATATTTCCCTGTGCTGTACAGTATAATCTTGTTTATCTATTCTACATATGTCTGTTAGTGTCTACAAATTTCGAACTCTCAGTCTGTCTCTTTCCACCCTCCCCCTACCATGGCAATCACAAGTTTGTATTCTATGTCTATGAGTCTGTTTGTGTTTTGTAGTTATGTTATTTTTATTTTTTAATTTTTTTAGATTCCACATATGAGCAATCTCATATGGTATTTTTTCTTTCTCTTTGTGGCTTACTTCACTTAGAATGACATTCTCCAGGGACATCCGTGTTGCTGCAAATGGCGTTATGTTGTCGTTTTTTATGGCTGAATAGTATTCCATTGTACAAATATACCACATCTTCTTTATCCAGTCATCTGTCGATGGACATTTAGGCTGTTTCCTGTTAGTATTTTTCTGAAATTTCTTTTTTTTTGCTTGTCTTTAAAAAAAATTTATTATTTTTTTAAATTGAGGTAACATTGATTTATAATGTGAAATTTATTTCACTGAAGCGTCCAGTGTTCACATGCTTTTTTGTTAATGTAGGAAATGTTTTTCTCTCATTCCAGGGCTGTTCCTGGTCAGTGATATTTGTGGATCTCGATGCCCACAATCGCAATAGGCAAACTTTGTGCTCACTGTTACCCAGAGAATCAAGATCTCATGTAAGATATTTTTTTATAATAAATTAACATGAACTGTTGTTTATGATTGATGTGTGGTTTTGTTTGTTTTTTGCAAGAAAGTGCTCTTAAGTGTCAGAGGTTGCCAGAAGAGGTAAGAAGAGAGAACAGATGTTGCTGCCCCCTCCCCTGGCCCATGGAAGTCTTGTTCAGGAAGTGAGCAGAGCTGTGGAGAAAGCCGCTTTTTCCTTTGAGTCTTTTGTAAAGCAATAGAGAACTAGTTACATTGTTTTCTTTTTGGAGGAGTAGCAACATTATACTGAAATGAATTTTTTGGCCACAGAATATTATGTATTAGAAATATATAATTAACCAGAAATTAACACAGTTTTGTAAGGTGACTATACTTCAATAACAAATTTTTTTAAAAATATATAAAATATTAGGAAAATATTTTTTATAATTTAAGTTTCTTTTGAATAAAATTACTTTCCTTGTTTCTTTTCTCTTATTCAATTCACCTTTTTTCTTTGATAAATTTTTATATGCCTATATAGCATCTGGCTGCAGATGTTTCTAGGAGTATTTTTACAATATAAATTTTAATAGTTGCTAATTTACTTAGCTAATTGTTGGACATTTAGATTGTTTTCTGGTGTTCACTATTATAAACAAGTTGTTATGACAAACTAGTTGTAATGACTAATTATTGGTGTTAAAGTTTTACACACTGCCTTAAGTAATGCCTTAAAGTTTGAGTCCAGTGTTGAACCTTGAAACTACTCCTTATTATTGAACAAAGTTTTATCTCCTCTGTAAGGTTCCCTAAACCATGCTATGTAGACATCTCCCTGTCCCTTGGGGCACAGCAATCTCACTGTCAGATAACCTTAGTGGCTTTTCATCTCTGTGATCCTCCTGGATCATATTGCTGCAGGCACTTACATTTCCTTCTTTTTTTTATTGCTCCCAGAACACTGATGCTGCCCTGCTCCCCTGCATCAGCTATCCTGCATTTGCTTTGGATGATGAAGTTCTGTTTAACCAGACACTTGATAAAGTGGTTAGAAAACTGAAAGGAAAATACGGATTTAAGCGTTTCTTGAGAGATGGGTATAGAACATCATTGGAAGATCCCAACAGACGCTACTACAAACCAGCTGAAATTAAGGTATCAAAAAAATATCCCATATCAGATAGCATACCAGGATGGTCAGGGGCACAGATTCAGGAAGCAGACTTCTTGGGTTTGAATTCTGCCTCTACCACTTACTAGCTGTCTGGCCTTGGGCAAGTTAACTAACCTCTGTTTAATATTCTTCATTAGTGAAATAATATTAGTACCTACCATTATTGGTCCTATTATTGGGATTTCTGTGAGGAATAAATGAATTAATACATATAAAAGTATGTATATAAAAGCACCCAGAACGGTGTTAGCACATAGTAATCTCTCAATCAGGTAGTTCTTACTACCATTGAGGCCCGTTTGCTCATACTGGACCCTGTTGATTCAGTGGGTGATTAATTTTTCTGTTGCACTTTCCGTGCTTTGCCTGCCTGCTCTATAATATTTGTCTTACATAATAGAAAATATCTATTTGTGATACAATTTTCAATTTATTAAGCAAGCACTCTTTTTTCTGTTTCACTTAGACACTTCCCATTTAGAGGAATATAGTCCTCTAAATATTTAGTTTTAAAATATTTTATGTTTCAAGTACATATATATACCCCATATCTAGGTTTATTCTAGCTGTTTTTAAGCTGCCCAGAAACTATTATAGCACCCCACAAAAAGTAAGCATCCATCCACATTACTGAAGACTTTGCTTTAGTGGGGTAGATTGAAAATCATTAAACACGCACACGCACACACACACACACACACACACACACACACACACACACACAAAACCCTCCCTATGTGCCTCCCATTGTCTCTCTCTGTTGTCATACTTCTAAAGAGCACGGTATGTTCTGGGTACGTCTCCTTGTTTGCCCCTTACTTAATTCTTTACCCTATAATCTAGCTCCTCTCCCCAGCACTTCTCAGTGGCTGTGCTGTCTTCAGTCAGTTTATGTCACTGAGTCATTATGGGTGCTTTTCTGATCTTATTTCACTGGCCCTCTTATGGGCATTTGAGGGTTTTAACTGAGTCTCTGTCTCTACCTCTGTCTTGGGAGGTTCTCCTCCATTTTCTGTGACTTCATTCTCTTCCTAATTCTCTGTTTACACCTCTCACTGTCTTTGTTAGTCTCCTTTGCAGGTTCTTCTACTGCTGCTTTTCCTTAAACATTGTTCGTCTCCTGGAATCCATCCTCAGTCCTGTACTCTTTTCATACCATCTGTGCGATTATTGCTTTAGCAATCACTGTTAATTCCGGATCTCTATCCCTAACTCATACTTCTGCCCCTGAGTGCCCTACCACGTATCCAGCTGCCTTTTGGACATCCTTACTAGGATGCACTGAAGTCTGCCTATGTTCACCTTCCACTCTTCGGCACAAGCCCCAAACCTGAGGTTCATTCTAGGGTCTTCCCTCTCACTCAGCCTTCTTTGTTACTCACCTAGGCTGACAAGTTTAACCACCTTCACACCTTAAAAGTCTGCCCCTTCCTCTCTCTTAACTCCTTGGTTTAGGCTAGTGATCCACAACCAGGAATGATTTTGCTCCCCAGGGGACATTTGACAATACCTGCAGACATTTTCCATGGCCACAATTTGGTGGGTGCTACTGGCATCTGGAAGGCAAAAACCAGACATGCTATTAAATGTCCCACAGTGCACAGGACAGCCCCTGCAACAAAGAATTTCTTGGCCCAGAATGTCAGTAGTGCTGAAGTTGAGAAATCTCAGGTTAGGCTAACATCTTTTCTCTTTGGATTGTTCCCAGCAGCCTTCCACTTGGTCTCCATATTTCTTGTCCTCTTCAGTACCGCCAGCTGTTCATCTAGCAAGTAAATCTGATCCTGTTTAGTATCCACCAGTGCTTCCCTGTCGCTTTCAGATCAAAGTCTTTGTCTCTTCGCATGACTTCTCAGGCCCTTCCTTGTCTGGCCCTCCTGGCTTCAGCTTTCACTACTTCTTCCTTACTAATTCCAAAAATACCGAATTGCTAGTAGTTTCTTTAACAAACTTTGCCCTTCATGCATCTCTAGTTTGTACTGTGTGGAAGTCCCTTACCTCATCTCCCCAGAGAAATCCAACAAGCGTTAGTGGAGGCATCTTCTTTCCTATAAACCCTTCCCTGACGCGCTAGGCAGACTCAGATGTCTCATGCCCTTGGTTCTCGGTATATACCATGTGCAGACATTCTGTAATGTACTGTAGTTGTTTATTTCCATGCCTGTCTTCCCACTAGGCTGTGACCCCTAGAGGACGGGTCCTCTGTCTTTTAGTCTTCATAGCCCTCTGTCTAGTTGAGGCCAGGCATTACTGTGTACTTAGTAAATATTTATTGAATGAATAATTACTGTGTGATGGATTAAATGAATGAATTTTTGAATAATAAGAATTCTGAAAAAAAATTTTGAAAAAACAGTGAAACTACTTATAAAATCAGTCCAATTTTGTTATTACAGTAAATAAATTTTTATGTGTATATTCTAACAATAGAAGTGTTTGAATATAATTGTTCTAAATAATTGTTGAAATCTTTAACATTTTCTGTTTTAGCTATTTGATGGCATTGAATGTGAATTTCCCATATTTTTCCTTTACATGATAATTGATGGTAAGTGAGCTTTTCTCCTGAAATTTAAGCTGTAGATTATAAACGGTTTAAAGAAGAGCAGAGATAAAATATGACTCCTTTCATCTAGCAAAATAGACTGCACTTAGTGATGTTAACACTCTGCATTTTTATGTGCTGCTCATCTGCTTTCTGAGTTAATGTTAAGTCATTTAAAAATGAAATACATTGAACTATTTAAAAATGATACAAATATATTTTTGTATTTACAAAGGAGAATTTTTTATGAATAGAAATCATGAGTACTGTAATCCATGACATTGTGAATGTCTATAACATTTACACTTAAGAATAGAGAAATTTCAATTAAAATTCAGTTTTTAATTCTAAATGCTTATATGACCTTCTAAAATCGATTTCCTGGAAAAATAGCATAAACATTTGCATTACCTTTTTTCAATGTTGTTTTTATCATTTACATACAAAATTACCAGAATGATTACAATTGGGCTAATATTTTTTTCTGAGGTGCTTATTGAACTCAGGTGCTATTGGATGTTATATTTTACATTTTAGGTGTTTTCAGAGGCAATCCCAAACAAGTAAAAGAATATCAGGATCTTTTGACTCCAGTACTTCATCACACCACAGAAGGTATATAGTTGGAATGCTTTTTTCAAGAAATTCTTTCTACCAATATTCCTTTAATGTTCGTTTGAAACGTATGAATGATTTCTTTTTGAACAGAACAATTTATATTAAAATGAAAAAAAGGCCCTCAAATGAATTAGAGAGAATCATGTATTAGTTTTTTATAATAAAGTTGTTTTCATGAAAGGAGTTCATCAAGTAAGATGATGGAGATAATTAAAGTGGTCACAACCATGGTAACTACGAGATAGTTTGCCAGATGGGCAGAGCGTCCTCATTTGTTACCTACTGTGAAACTCCTTCACTGTATGTCCGGTGACAGTAATACAAAGTGACTGGTTTTTATGCAGGTCACCAGAAATGGCTGTGGAGGTGAGTGCTGACCCCTCCAGAGGGCCACTGAGGGATGCTCTGCCCTAGCCTAAAAGCACTACTGTTGCCAAGAACATTCTAGCCTCCTCTTTGGAGATGTTTCGAGGACTTTCTGCATGTTGCACATTATTTTGAGTGTTTGCTGTGGTTCTAAAATGCCATCCTTTGAGAATGGATTTAATATTTCAGAAATGGTCAAAAGACCTAGAGTATATTGGTTTCAGTTAAACACCAGCAGAGTCCATAAAAGAATATAACTAATTTTTCTGTATGACTAGAAAACTAATTCTCAAAGGAATTCCAAAGAAGTTCCAGGTATCTTTGGGGTTTGGAGGTATTAATAAAATAATAATATATTCTCATGAGTGAGTAGTTTTGAAGGCACATTTATCTGAAAGTTAAAACTATGGTGTGTTGATTGAAAAAAAAAAAGAAGTGGTCTTAGGATGCAGTGCATAGCCTGGCAGTCATAGCACCAGGCCCCATTCCTATCTCACGTGACGTTTGTGATATTCTTTAGGGTTTTCCACAAGTATCTTAGAGTAAATATACTGTGTGCTTGCTCTTTAAAATACATGTAATGTTAAAGCAGCAAAGTGTTCATAGATAAAGATGAATTCCAAATAAATATTAATGTTTAAACCTGTTATTTTTGTCTTTGTGCTCCAGATAACCTTTGGCCAATGTGAGAAATAATGTAAAGAATGGTGTAGTGAATATATTTAAAATCCCTTGACTGAGACCGTTTAATATTCAGCGGTAGATCACTGATGCGTTGAGGTGGTAGTCCATGTACCACACGTCAGGCTTCATCATGTTCAGAGAAGGATGTTCAAACTATTCTCTGTGTATCATAAACCTTTTTACTGGTTTTAGGTACAAATATCATTATTGATTGATACATGAAGAAAGAAGCCCATTTTAGGGAAATCTGTACAATTTTATTAGAAAAATTAAGTTTCCTATATGGGCTGATACTACAAAAAGTCTTCTGTAGCACTCTGTTAGAATGTTTTTTCCCCCTTCATCCACAGATTCTAGTCTTTACGTAATTTTTCATTTCTACCAGGAAATATTTTTAAATGGGTTGGTCACAGGGGAAGATGGATTTTTTTTCTCTGTAGTGATATTGAATGGTAGATTAATGGACCTAGTGTTTAAAATGGGGATTTCTTTGCTCTAAGCAATGGCTCAGGGTTATAATTCTTCATTTAAGATTACATAGTGTCTCATTTGTAAAGCTTGCACAGACTAATCCTATTAAAAATAGCTTCTTTCATGGCCCTAAATATTTACATGCTGTGTATTTATTGATTCATTTAAAGGTGTTAAAATTAAATGTCGTTAGAGAAGATTATGTACACATTGTTGGCTAACATATAACTTCTCATGTGAATTTGTGTTTTAAAGGCAAGAAGCTTTTTCCACATTTTTCACTGGGAATTTCTGAAAAGAGCCAGAATATCCAGTTTTCTATTGTACAACCTTTCTCTATGTGTTCTTTCTAACCATTGCAGTTTCTTGAAGGGAAGATTTGGGGAGGACACTGATTTGTTGTATTTTAAATGTTTGTTTTTAAACTCCATAGGTTATCCGGTCATACCAAAGTACTATTATGTGCCAGCTGACTTTGTAGAAAATGAGAAAAAAAAGCCTGGTAGTCAGAAACGATTCCCTAGCAACTGTGGCCGTGATGGAAAACTGTTTCTTTGGGGACAAGCCCTTTATGTCATTGCAAAACTCCTGGGTAAGTGAAGAAGATTGGAAACTTTATTTTTCCCCTTGTCATCAAGTCTTTAGAAATAAGTATGTTTTTGGTGACGTTCTTCTTGAATTTGGGTGTTGTTTCATGCTGTTAAGAGGTCTTGGGGGAGTTTCTTAGCAGGTAAAAGTATATTAATATGTCTGTTTCACTGAATGATGATGGCAAGTTTTGGGGTGAAAGTCCAATAGGTGTGGGTACCATTATGATCATTTGGAGGCTGCATTCAGCTTCGTGGATAGGTTTCTAGCAGAAGGCCATGGGAACTTTGAGTCTCTTTTATTAATGTAATAAAATTCTGATTTAATGTAACAATCATGCTTATGCATAGCTTTAGTAAACCAGTTGACAAAAAGAATAGGTTATGTCAGAATTCTCTTTCTGTTAAATACACGTTGGCAATTTACTCAGTTAGGTGGAAGCTTACTGGGACCATTATTCATGATGCTTTGAAGAATTATTTTTCAGCTTCTCCTAAAACTTCAGCTGAAGTGTTTACAAACACACTGAAATGAAGGCTAATTTAATGAACACAAAAAAGCATTGTACCTCTTTCTGCACCATTCCTTGCTAAAATTTTAAATGCTATTAGCATTTCCATCAGAGAGGCTATCATATTAGTCAGAATTCTTTTATGGCAAACAGATTATGAAACAGGCTGATTGTAAAAACTACCTTCACTAAAAGCTGTGTGAAATACTGTTACTGTCTTTGTTGTTCTTACTATTACTGCATAAATGCTAAATTTGTTGGTGGTGTTAGAGTAATCATCTTTGGTTCCTTTTTTTTTTTATATTCCACTAAAGAAGAATATTTCAAAGTCTAGATATCCAGTTTAAGCTTTACACAAATGATGTAAAAAAGCAGACAGAAGCTAACCAAAAAAGAAAATTAAGCTAATGTTGTTTTCAGTTTGCTCCTTTACTTTCTGTGTTTTCTGGGTCTCCATATACACTTAATGCCAATTGAACAAGCCTGTAGAAAAATTTTCTCCTTCAAAGGAACAGCTCTTTGATAAGGAGTTGATACTATTTATACAGGTTTTGCTTTAAGATTTTCCAAAAGAATAAATATATATACACAAAGTACGTTTCTTAGAATCAAGCAGTAAGCTTATCTCTGGTTAGAATTTTATTTCCATCTCATTAGCATGAATACAGAGAACCCTTGTTGATACTCAGTTCAATAAAACATATTTTCGTAGAGGAGTAGTTAACCTATCTACAGACAAGAATTTTAACATCAGAATCGTAAATTTCTGTAAACTACACTTGGAAATTACAAATGAGCATGATGAAATTTTTCAGTGGTTCTGAGACTGAAAACTGGTACCTGGGATATGGGATTTGAGATCTAAGCCTTCCTCATCCTGTTTTTTGCTATATATCCAGCCTGGGGTTGATAACAGCTGGAAAGATTGCTATTTGAGCTAAGCCTCTGGATAAAATTTAGAAGGCTAATGAATTGGGAATGCAGAATTAGCTATTCTACATAAGCAGACTGAGCTTTTTTTTTTTAAACAAAGAAAAAGACTGAAAACAGAATCAGTTAGTAAAAAAACATTGGACCTCCCTGATTCCAAAATAAATGTATTGAATGTAGATAGATTTTGAGTGTAGATAGCATTTTCTTATATTATGACCAGAATGAACAGAAATAGTCCAGGTCATGCCTTCACCCCTGTTTCATGACCAAAAAGAATAAGAAAGAGCCTTCAATTCTCTTCAAGAAAGAGCCAATTTCTCTTTTGCCTGCTGTGCTTCTGAAAAGGCATTGGAGAACATGCAGAAGGTGTGTGCAAACTGAAACCATGTACTTATCTCCTACTGAAAAAGGAGATGCTGCCTATTAATTAGCACTCTGACCTAACTGAGTGTCATCTGGTTAACAGCTCACTGGTTAAAATGAATAAGATCTCAGAAGACTGAATCATTTTAGTTGCTCTTGACTATTGCATACTTGTCCTGCAAGGACCATTAAATGTCTATGGATGTTCTGAAGATTCCACATACCATGTTTACTAACAAAGTATTATTTGTTCATTAAAAGAGCCTCAGTTGGGTATCCGCTTAACAGCATTTTATGGACAATTAATTGGAGTTACAAGAAAATAATAGAACAGTAAATCTCTAATAATATTCTGTAATATATGGCTTTCACTAATTTAGTCTAGTTTCTATCCAGTAAAATTTAATAGGAATATTTTGCTCTATGTATGCCTTAGTGAGTAATTATACAACAAAGCTATGGGAATTTTATTGCATTGTTAGAGCTGAAAGACTCAACATGCTATTTCCTGGCCCAAGGCCTGAACTACCCACTGTGTCCTTAGAAAATAGTTAATTACTACAGTATTTCTTTTTCTTTAGAAAATTTAGACTTTTAGAAAATCAGTGTTGGCTATAAAATATGTAAATAAATTATAAACATGTTTATTTTAAATTAGATAAGATATATTTTAAGATACAACATTGGACCTGTCTTAGAATAGAACAACCATTAGTTATACTTTTAATTGTTATTTTAATTTGGAAGTTTAGAAACTAACCATGTAAGAGATGATCAGTCTGCAGAAAGCAGTGTACCTTTTGAGTTCTCTGGAAAATCATGTTAAAAGTATTTATCACATAAAAGTCACTTGAAAATCATGATCTTTGGATTGAATTTTTTTGAGGTTGAATTAGAGAGTATAACATAAGGTTAATGATAACTTTAATAAAACCTCTCCAAAGCCAATACTTAACTTTAATGTATTTCCTTGTTCATTGTTTTTTAAAAAAGAGAAGCTAGTATATCAGTTGTTTACCTTAAAAAAAAATCTAACTTCCAAAAGTTAGCTTGTCTTTTTAATATATATAGCTCCCCCTTATCCATGGGGATACATTCCAAGACACCCCAGTGGATGCCTGAAACCACAGATAGTACCAAACCCTATATATATACTATATATTTTCCTATACATACATATCTGTGATAAGCTCTAATTTATAAATCAGACATAGTAAGAGATTAACAATTAATGATAGAATAGTTTAACAATATACTGTAATAAAAATTATGTGACTATGGTCTCTCTCTCTCCAAAAGAAGAAATCTCGCACTGTGCTCACCCCTCTTCTTGCGATGATGTGAGATAATAAAATGCCTACACAATGAGACGAAGTATGTGCATGACGCAGGCATAGTGACGTAGCATTAAGCTACTCTTGACCTTCTGGGGAAATATCAGAAGGAGGATCATCTGCTTCTGGTGATCCTGAATCATGGAGTCCTGACAGTATCGATGGTCGGATGTCAGGAGCAGACCATGTCTGTGATTAGAGATCCCAGGATGGTTGGGGATACCGAGTGGGACAGAGCCAGAGGCTGTGAGATTTTATCATGTTACTCAGAACGGCACACAATTTAAACCTTATGAATTGTTTATTTGTGGAATTTTCCATTTAATATTTTTGGACTGTGATTGTAGGTAACTGAATTTGCAGAAAATGAAACTGTGGATGGTGGTGGGGGACGACTGTATATGTAACTAATTTTCCTTACCCTTTTCATCAGACATTCACAGTGCTGATCTTCATTTAGGTACTACTGTAAGATCCCAGATCATTAAAAATTAGAACTTTTGTATAGTGTAAAACTTAAGGTAGGTAAATAGAAGAATTTTTTTAGGATGGATGCTTTGAAAGCATTATTAGTAAATGTCAAGAGTTAAAACAAGGAATATTTGATTAAGCTTGAACTACTGAGCAGTTTTAATTAACTATAGCTTTCTCTCCCATGTACATAAACTCCCCAGATGTTCAGGTGAATGAAAATTTTCTTGAATTTCATGAAGGATTCTTTTCTTTTGAGGATGAGTGTTTTTTAATTTCCTAGGAATGTTAATAGGAGACTTTTATAAATATTGAAGTACTTTAAAGTAGTTAATATGAATTTCCCAACTTCATTTCTTGGGTTCCCAGAGTTCCTCAGTAAGTCATTATTTGGAACTCAGTTTGTTTTCCAGTAGAAACTATATTTTTAATGATTATTAACAGCTAGCAAACTTGTAACCATGTGATATAGATTATTTCTCTGGCATTATCATCTTTTTCCTCTGCTGCTTCCTCCACTAGTTCCTCTTCCTTTTTTTTTTTTTTTATGTTTTTCTTGGACTGCAGTGGAAAGATCAAGAGTTTGGGGGCTATGAACTTAGGAATTCATGGTTTGACAATAAGTCCTACCACTTTCTACTTACATGACTTGAATCTTCTTAACTTCCATGATGATCAGTTTCTTTATTTTTATGTTATAAGGACTAACTGATGAGAAAATACATTAAAGCATTTACTGGGGGACAGATACATACTTCACTGGTTCTTCTACTTCGTGCCCTTCCTTCTACCCTCCCTCCTCCTGCCAGCCACTATCTAGGGGATAATATTTATGACAGTGCGTTTCATAGTTCTTGATAACAAGGTAACTCAGGATGCTTATGGGCTCTCCTTGCAGGTAGCCCCATAGCCACAAAATATCACAAGAAGAAAATGCTTCTCAAGTTTCTCCTTAACTATCTACTCAGTGGTCCAGCTGGTATCTGTAGAGGACTGCTCTGTGCTAGTCACTGTGGCTGATATCCAGTAGCTTTACAGCAAGAATTGAATATGACAACCTAGGAAATATTTCTGCCTCTCTGAGGGCAGCTTAGTTATTCTGATACACTGCTTCTTCACTCCAATGTCTGTAACTAAGATAAGTCCAATTGCATTTGATTTTGTTCATGATATTTCTTGTCTAATTGACCTCAAATATAAAAGCCCCTGATTAAGCCTGGAAATCTAATGTATTTTAAAGTTACAGTCAATGGTCAAGTGCCCCCTAGTGTGTATGAGAACATAAGAAACTGAGGTATTGATTTTCATTGGTTTGTTGATTTCAGATGCAGTTACCTTTCTCAGTATGGCACACGGTTTTCTTACTGATCAGTTAAAGGTAAACTATATAGA